TTCTGCTGCTTCCCTTTTTCCTCAGGGAAAATATCCTGAAAACAGCAAAAGCTTTAGTTGAAGATACAAAATTGCTCGTGTCTGGAGCTGCCTCAAGTCCAGATAAACTAGCCCAAGCGGCTCAGTCATCAGCTACCACCATTACACAACTTGCAGAGGTGGTTAAACTGGGAGCAGCCAGCTTGGGATCAGATGACCCTGAAACACAGGTATGAGGGGCTGTGATAGTAGATCAATGTTTGTAATCTTAAAAGACATGGCGAATATCAAAGAAAGGAGAATTCTGGAGGTACAGTGTAAATATATTTTAGTTTTTCAGTGGAACTTAGGCATTTATGAAAATGTTACCCATAAATAGCACAAACCTTGTGCTGCGTCTTTAAAATGATACACGGTTGAATCAGGCACTTCCCTGATAATAGAAAAATAATTGTGCAAAAATGAACAAAACATGGTATGTGGCTCATAGAAAAATAATTGTGCAAAAATGAACAAAACATGGTATGTGGCATCTAGTTTCTTCCCCACCAGTGCTGGAATGCTTTTTGCAAAAATATTCCCCAATGACTTGTTTTTAATACATTTCTAGAAAGTTTTCATTGAGTTTAAGACCAAGCTAAACTACTATTATTGTTTCAATGGTATGAGCAGTGTCCTAGAACTTCACAGAAGTGTCTGAATTATTTTACTTTCTTTTAAACCATTTAATTCTTCAAAGTAGATTCAGTTAAACATTTAATTGGTGTTAGAATCATGAAATGTAGGCTTGTTTATGCATGGTAGGTGTGTCTGTGTTAGTAAGTTAATTTGAAAATGTCCGGTGGTTTGTATAAGGCACTGGAAAAAACGTGCAGCTCTCTATCCTGTTGAACCTCACATATGATCTTTGTTCCAGAGTCAACTTCTAGAGCATTTCTCTGGAGGGGGAATATTTCTAAAACTGAAAATATTTGCTTCAGGAGCAATTTTTTGATACCTTAATATTTCAAACTAGCAACACTGGGGGATTTTAAGTATTTGTAATACTTTTGGGCTTTGTCTTCAAATAAAGTAATTGCTAGGGCTGATTGGTTTTTATTTATTTGTGCTACTTGTATATGTGATATGATAATCGGGGGCGGGGGGTCAAATTACAAGTATAGCGTATGTTCTATGTACAGACATTTTCAAAAGCTTCAGCATAAGGCCCCAAGATACAAAATGTGACTTTTCCATGTAAGTTAGAAGCTCATTTTACTCTGGCTGCTGAAGCCAGGGGAGGAAGAGGTAGGAGTGTGTGTGCGTGTGCATCGTCTCCATTGTTGTGTAACATAGACAGATAGAGAAGTGAGAGCTGCACCAATCTATAGTCGTCCTTAGGGTCTTGTCTTTTTTTCGTTGTTCATCAAAGAGTTCCTAAATAACCCAAGATTGAGTTAGCTTTCCCAAGAGAGCAGAGATTGTAACTTAGCCTTAGTTGATTGTGATAAAACTGCAAACAAGGCTGAATCGAGGCAGCACAAAACATTTGATTTCCTATCATAGAATCCTAGGGTTGGAGGAGAGCTCAGGAGGCCATTGAATCCAACCCTTTCTCAAAACAGGACCAACCCCACTAAATCATCCCAGCCAGGGCTTTGTCAAGGTGGGACTTAGAATCTCCAACCCTAGAGATTTTTACCGTCTCCCTAAGTAACCCATTCCAGTGCTTCACCACCCTCCTAGTGAAATAGTTTTTTCCTAATATCCAATCTAGACCTCCCCCACTGCAACTTGAGACCTTTGCTCCTCGTTCTACCATCTGTCACTACTGAGAACAACCACTCTCCATTATTGAGAAGTAATAGATTCATGTATCTTTTTTTTCCTCATCTATTTTCCATGCATATTATCACTTTGAAACAGGGCACAATTGTGCTGATATCAATAAAGCAAGGTAAAAGGTTGAAGCAGATGACAATAGAGTATGGAAAGGGATTTTGGGAGAGTTATTTTGGTGTTACTTGGAAATAATTAATGTGATTATGTGCAAGGGCATAATATACTCTTTTCCCCCGTACTTGGTTTGAAAGGCATTTGTCTGTTGCCAACTCTCACCTCGGGCAAGGCGTTCATCATTTAGTTCCTTGGGGGTTCTTAGGAGCTAGGCTATATGAAACTTGCTTTCCCCTGAAGTGGAGTATCTCCCTTACGTCCAGGGCATACCGAGTATGTTTGATCTGATTACGTCTGTCAGAATAATAGCTGACATCACAGTAAATGGGGCCTTTCTCCAAGGCAGGATCAAGCTGTAAGATTGTACCAATTTAACTGTTCTCATTCTACTTCCATGCTGAACAGAACACTGAGGTGAATAACCCCTCGTTGGGACGCTGAGTAGGGGAGAAGTCCTGCTCGAGAGAACCATTTAATTACAGGAGACGGTAGCAGAATCGGGTTCTGAACATTATATAAAATACCCATTAACACAGTTGCTTATTTGAGTGCTTGCTCATGTCCATTCCACATTAGGTGTGGGTGTTTGCTGTGATGGATTAGTCACAGAGATCCCCTTGAGACCGTCGCCTGATGGGCTGATCATACCACTGAGCTTGCCTGCGTGCCCGACCGCCCTGTCCTGCGGAAACAGAGGTTCTGGTCTCCCCCAGAAAAGGCACAGAGTTGAGGTTACAGCCCCAGCAGAACAGCACAGACACTGAGAGCAGCTCAGCTCTGAGAATGCTGAGTCATACGGACTTGACACAGCATCCTGGTGTGCAGCTTTGATGGAATCAAAACCCCAAATAAATCCTTCTCGCTGTGTATAATGGGAGCTACTGTTGTCAGTGAAAGAGAGAGATGCACAGCTGTTGTCCCCCAAGTAATGGTGTAACAATAAGCAAAAGTGGTTTTCTTAAGTATAAAACATTGTATTTAAGTGGTTGCAAGTGACCTAGACAGATTAGAGGATAGGGCCAAAAGAAATCTGATGAGGTTCACCAAGGACAAGTGTAGAGTCCTGCACTTGGGACAGAAGAATCCCAAGTATTGTTACAGGCTGGGGACCCAGTGGCTAAGTAGCAGTTCTGCAGAAAAGGACCTGGGGATTCCAGCAGATGAGAAGCTGGAGATGAGTCAGCAGTGTGCCCTTGTAGCCAAGAAGGTTAATGGCATATTAGGTTGTATTAGGAGGAGCATTTCCAGCAGATCCAGAGAAGTGATTATTCTCCTTTATTTGGCTCTGGTGAGGGCAAATCTGGAGTATTGTGTCCAGTTCTGGGCCCCCCACTATCGAAAGGATGTGGACACATTGGAGAGGGTCCAGGGAAGGACAACCAAAATGATTAGGGGGCTGGAGCACATGACCTGTAAGGAGAGACTGAGGGATTTGGGTTTGTTTAGTCTGCAGAACAGAAGAGTGAGGGGGGATTTGATAGCAGCCTTCAGCTTCCTGAAGGGAGGTTCCAAAGAGGACAGAGAGAGGCTGTACACAGTGACGGATGGCAGAACAAGGAGAACAAGGAGAAATGGTCTCAAGTTACAGTGGGAGAGGTCTAGGTTGAAAACTAGGAAAAACTATTTCACTAGGAGTGTGGTGAAGCACTGGAGTGGGTTCCCTAGGGAGGTGGTGGAATCTCCTTCCCTAGACGTTTTAAGTCTCGACTTGACAAAGCCCTTGCTGGGTTGATTTAGTTGGGATTGGTTCTGCCTTGGGCAGAAGTCTGCACTCGATGACCTCCTGAGGTCTCTTCCAGCTCTATGATTCTATGGTTACAGACGGATCACAGTAAGTTACTACAGTAAAATATAACAAAACACACCAAAGTAACAGACAGGTAGCCATGTTAGTCTGAACTTGGTAAAACAAAAAAAAGCAATCATGTAGCACTTTAAAGACTAACAAGATGGTTTATTAGGTGATGAGCTTTCATTCCAGCACTACGCGGCATGGTCACTTGTCTTTGTAGGACCAACTACAATCCAGATTTACAGGAAAAACAAAACATCACTGATCATTGCCTTGCGCATCAGGCCATTAATTTTCTTGAATGCTGCTATTGGCCTTCCCTAGCACATCTGCATACATCAATGGGCATATACTTGCTAATTTTAACTTCATATACATGCACACAAATAGAATATGCACATTCAGGGGATTACAAGCTCTTGAATGAAAGGTTACAAGACACAGTTTGCATGAAACATATTTGAGTTATGCAGATCAAGTAGATCATAGGGGTGTTCAGTGTCCTTCCTGGGGCACATACCAGTCCTGGACCTCTTAGACGCTTGACATAGTCCTCTGTCCATGCGTTCATGTCTTATTACTCCATGACTCAGATGGCCAGAGATGACACTGGGTTC